CATCGTATTTTTTTTTTTAAAAACGTCAGCCCTGTGTTCTCTTGCACGCTCCTTGGCCGATATACTGCATCCGACAGATTTTACATGTGATTTTATAAACTATAGTTCTAGTTTTACACGAGAAGCGTTCATCAACATTACGGTAGGGTAGGAAGTGACGTTCGGTGCATGATGATCACGACAAGCTCCTCCGGACTGATATCTGTATCATTCCGGAGGAGCTTATCATGCGGCAGCAAATGCAATTAGCACCGCATGGTTCTATGACTAAGCGCATATGATTATCCGGTACCGTTGGGAGTCTTCTAAAATTCTTATACTGACCTAGGGCGAATTGGTTTTTAATTCGTTTCCCGCCCACTAGTATAGTCGTTGAAGTCTTGGGTGGGATAATAGATGCAACGGCTGTCATATCACTGCTTGTTTTGCTTGACCCAGGTGCTTGATTACGGAACCATGCAATGCTAAGCGCCCGGTCAAAGGCGAAAACCCATTAGGATCCGCGCATCTGGAGGGGCTGCTGTCTATCGGGCTACGACCAGTGCCCAAAATATTCCTGCAATCCGGGCGGCGCCGGGGTTCCTTGTTCGGCAACCTTTTAAACGATAACCAGTGCAGGAGCTCCCAAAAGTCTAGAAGCCGAGAGGAGGGAGAGTCTCTCAGATATTTAAATCTTACTGTGTAAGGCATCAATCAGTGAGCATTTTACCACTGCAACCAACTTATGCCGTAAATATGATATTGTGGCAGTGCTCATATTCTGTAAGGTAGTAGGACCATTAATTTACTTAGGAAGATCTCGATAAGTATTAAACATTTAGGACTGCGATTTTGCAATCGTCAAGAACCCTAAACGGTTGTGAATGCAAGAAAACGGCTCTCAAAAGTGTTATTAAATATCAGGACAAGCTGATAGTGGTGAGTGCTACCTAGCCCTGGTAATGTAGGTGCCCGGCTTGGTGAAAACAGCGCAGAATTTTTAAAAATACCAGAGAAATAACCCAAAAATAAAGCAAAAGAAACCAATCAAGTAAAACAAAGTCTTACCCATTCGACTGTCTTCCTCCTATCGGTGTAATTTTTACCCAGGCTGGAACGAACCAGGCGGGCTGGTGCGATTATGCATTTTTGCGCTTTTTGTGCTGCAGCAAGATCGCAAGGGATCACATTAGCTAACCCTGTGACATACTGGCCCTCGAAGTTCGGGGAGTTAATTGTGCAACTATGTGGCATGTCAGTTGTAGATGTCG